ACACACACAAAGAGAGAGAGATAGGGAACATGCCTTAATGGCTATCCAAGTCTTTTGTCCTCAATGACCCAGAGGTAGAGAGAGACATTTGATATTCAGCTAAGTAGTTAGCAGAATATCAAAGTTAACAGCTTTAGCAACAATAAGATATAAAATAAAGATGAGGTGTTGCTTTTATAATAACTTAAAAAAAGTGCATTTAAATTCTCGTTTTATATAATAACAGTAATAATAGTAATGACTAATTTTGTTTCTGTTAAATTGATCTCAACAGATGTGTGTTGTGATTTGAACAGTCCAACAGAGGTGGCAGAGAGCAACCTAATAAATGTAAATTTTCATTTCACAAGATGTTTTATACAAAGTTCGTTGAAGATTCTTAGATTCTTGTGAATTGTTGCCAAAGTAGAATCTAAAGTAATGCAGTAAATCTCAGTTTGTATATTTCACTTTAAGAACAAATGTATAGATTTGGAAAATGTTGGCTGCTGCAATTTATCTTTCAGTTTATTGAAAAACTAACTTGTCTCTCGTTTGTTTTGTCGCCTGTGCTTCAGCAGCTGCAGGGTATCAGATGTACCCCTTACTTTTCAAACGGATGAATGAAAACATGAATGAGTGGGGGGAGCAAGAGGAGGAGGAGGAGGCATTACGGGGACGAGGACGATCCGTGTGTGTGTCAGTGCTGTTTGAGCGTGCCAGCGATACGCTGAGGTGACAATGACTCTTGGCTGGAGCTGCTTTTTTGTGGTGCGGCTGGGGTGAAACAACACACAGGTCCCGCCTCTTCTTCACCCACATTCGCCTGCCCATCGACTCAGAGGCTCAAACTGCAAAAAAAAAAAAAGAAACATCAAAGTGCACAAAATGGACAAAATTTAATTATTCTGTGGTTTACATGAAAAAAAAAGAAATCTATCAACCTGCTAATGTTTGAGAGCAACATCTGATGCTTCTTGACCATAGATGAATATATACACAACTACGGAGACAAACATAAAGTGTATTTAGGCCTTTAATAGACAAGAGAATGCTTAAACATGGACGCAAGAGGAGATGAGACGGAGGGGACAACTGAATTTGGAGCAAGGCTGCTTTTCATCAGTGAGTGTCGCTGTCTGTCTGTCTGTCTGTGTGTTATTGTCTTAAGTATTCATCTTCAGCTTTCTTTTAAAGAGTCGGAGTGAAGGCGGACAGAGGAGGAGAAAGTGAGCGGGGCTGAATTCTCCACCTTTCAGTTCAAAGCTTGTCTTAACGGAGGTGAGACTGACGAGGAGAAGATGCTGTGTGAATGTAAAAGAGCGAGAAGGAGAATAAGACATCTTTGAGTTGAGGACAGTCTCAAGCATTGTTCGATATGACGAAGCCTCAGTCCTGCTCTTAACTCCGGGTGATGAGAAGACGTTGTAAGATCTCGGTAGCGAACAACTTCTGTTGTTGTATTTTTCTTATATTACGTTTGCATTTTCTCTTGTTTTATAAAACCTGTAAAAATATGTAGATAACTTTTGGCAGAATGTGACAGATTGTGAAAAGATGAGGCTGGAGAGAAGAGTACTGTTTACCTCGTGAGAGCCCTGGAGCCAAGTGTGAAACAATTACCTTCAGAGTCCGCCACAAGTGTGTGTATGTGTGTGTGTGTGTTTGTTTTGGTTTCCACTGTGGCAGACAATGACAGAAAGGTTGTCATTAATATTTTGGCCCAGACCTGTCAGGATGGACAGATGTCACCGAGGGGAAAGGAGCTGACTGATGTCCTGTACATTTCTTTACCATGCTTCAACTTTATTACTATGATATTTGTGTATATTTTCTGAACCAATAAAAAAAATATACACAACCTATACAGACTTCTGATTGTGTGTTTCATTTGATGGTGGCATATTTGCTCATTCATATATATTCTTAATGCAGATTCCTGTTGTTGTATTCAAGATAACAGACAAAACAACTGAACAGATTTCCACAAAACTTGGTGGAAGGATTAGATATGGGTCAGGGAGGAATCCATTCAATTTGTATCCAGCTCAGGATTGCAAGATTTCAACATTTGCACCATTTTCCCAGGAAATAATTCATGGATCTGATTTTTTAAAGACTTGTTATCCACAGAACAGAGTCCTTACTAACATGATCAGTATCGCCTGTGTTTACCTGCTGTCTCATGTCAAAATGGCTGCTGTGAAGAAGTTCTATTAATAACTGGGTAGTTTTCAATGGTGGCCACGTTCCATTTAGCTTTTCCAGTCCCAGTGCTCTGATACTGAACAGAATTAGTTCAACTGCATGACTGACTAATAGAGCACTGCAGCCATCATCATTCATTTTATTACTAATTCACAAACATGAATAATTTCTGACTAACTACAAACCAAAAACTAAAAGAATCTGCTAATATTATGTTTCTAGATTGTGGCCCAAATGTTCTTATTGGCCAGTACAATGTACGGTTCTGGGGATGACACTTGCCTATTTTTTGTCATCTTTAAGTATTTTTTACTCTTTACATATCTTTATTCACATCCTATGCATTTCATGGCCTTTATATACAATAAAGAGCACAGGTGTTCATAGATATATAGGAAGCCGGATAAGGGGTGAGATTAAATAAATCTGTACTTCCTCTCATTCAAGTAGATTCAATCATTAAATGTTGTTTTTTCTCATCACTGGTTGTGTATTATACTTTCTTCTGCGTTTTCTTTCACTTGTTTGAATAATTTCTCTTTTTTTAATTTACATGTTCCAAATAAATACAAGTTAAAATAATAAATTCATTTATTTTATTACATTTATAATTTGCCTAGTTATCAGGTCTCTTGTGTTTTTTTCGTACCTGACGTCATGTGGAACAACAACAAAAAAATCTAAATTGTTGTTCCAGATTTTTCCGATTATTCGTAGAGTGAATGAACGCCCCCTGGTTGCTTGACCAATGATTGACCCGCACATGCTCCCAGCGGTGTGTGCAAACCAGCCTCTGATTGGTTGACTCGGCTCGTCCTCTCGGAGGAGGCGGGGCCAGGGTGAGCTGCAGTTAATCCCGTGTCGGAGCGGAGAGGACTGACGGAGTCCGCGTCTGTAACTACACAAACTCTTTCCTCAGGCGAAGTCACCGACACAAATCTCACATTTCATGACGCCGCAGAGTTCAACGCGAGACACGAACTTTCAGCGGGGGCGGTGGTGTTTGGGAGACGCGGAGGTTCACGGGAAGGCTCAGCGTGGATGTCCGGGGAGCCACGGTGAAGAAGAACTCAGGCCGTTTGTGGGTTATTTATATTTATGGTCGTGAGTTTGTCTGCTGGAGGACTTTAAAGCAGCAGCGCGTTAACCAGGTGAGAGTCGCCTCTAAAACACTTTACCATCACACCAACACTCATTCACACGACTAACCAGAGTTGTCCTCCTCCGCCTCAGGTTTAAAAACACGATCGTCAGGGAGCTGTGGTCTGTAACGGTGAGTCCCTTCACTTTGGTTCCCAATCAGTTCCTGACTCCCGCAGCAGGAATTCAAATAAAACCTCTGGTAACCGAGTAGAAACACACGTGACTCGGTTGTTTGTGTGTTGTTCTGCTAAAATGAATCCTGTTGTTGTTGCTCCATGATAATCCAGAGTGTCTGTGAACCCTTAAATGACTTATTATGTGTGATCAACACACCCTGAACCCATCACCCCTTCCCATCTGTTGCTGTGCTTTATTACTGACCCCATGCCCCTCTGATGTATTATTCCTCTCTCTCTCTCTCTCTCTCTCTCTCTCTCTCTCTCTCTCTGTGTGTGTGTGTGTGTGTGTGAGAGAGAGAGAGACCTTTTTCGCCTTTCAAATGAAACACACAGATGTCCTTTCAATCCAACACAGAATCATGTCACTGGTATTGTATTTGTGTGTGTGTGTGTGTGTGTGTGTGTGTGTATACTGATGGATGCTGATGCCTTCACTTCTCCTTGTTCACATGTGGATTTGCTGAATGCTGGCAAACCAATACATATGACCTGCTGTCTCTCACACACACACACACACACACACACACACACACAGACATACAGTTTGTCTCCATGACCTCAGAGGACATTACATTGACTTACATTGCTTTCCTTGTGACTTACTCTAACCTAAGTAACAACTTGCCTAAACCTAACTTAAACTTAACCTAATCTTATGTCTTCACCTGTAAATGTAATGGTTTATGTTCTTCGGACTTGTCTTTGCCCCTATAAGGAGGACAAGTCCCCATAATGTGACTGAACAAATTTAGGTCCCCACAACACGAGTAATTCCTTGACGACACACACAAACATTACTCTTTCACGTATGAATGCATTAAAACAACCTAATTCATTCAACCAAACCACCCAATTCAATTAGTTTTCCTTAACACAATCAGTTTTGTGAAGAAACTGAATGGTGTGTGTGGTGTGTGGGGGGGTGTAGCATAATGTCAGCCCATCATTGTCTGCACTATTTGTTCTGTGTGCTGTGTGACTTTCAATCATCACTCTGCCTATGAGACATAATAGGTGTCACTGTCAGTCAGTGGCCATTTTTAGCACTTGCACCCACTCTTTTATTGTTGTCATCTCTGCCTTGTCTTGCATTGTGTGTTTATTTGCCCCCCCCCCCCACTTCATTGATACAACATCAAGGTCTCTGTCTCCCCCCAAGCTTTAAAGCAACTGTCTGTCTGCGTACAAGAACAAATGCACCCTGAGGAACATGACTGTGTCATCGTATAGACAATGACATGCTGCTGCTTATGTAACGTGTCTTTTGGCCACTTCCAGTCCTGTGAAATGAATTTGGTCAGACTGTAGTTAGCTGATCCGTGTTTGACTCACTGGTCAACAATTATTGTTGTCATATATCATACATTGACAACACTAGATTTGGTTTGGTTTTAAGTGATGTCTTCAGTTATAGAAAATAAATATTTTATTTTTTTAACCATCCTACAAGGAGGAATCACTGCAGCCTCAAAATACTGGAATGCCTTGAAGCTTTTTTTTTGTTTCCAGATCACTCGCTCCACCTAAAACAGCAGAAAAGTAAATGTAAGGGCATATTAGCTGGCTGTAGTCAAATAGCATTCTGGGAGATGAAAAGACAAACAGATTTGTGTTCCCTATAGAACAACAATAATGCTATTGTGTAACTATCGTGCTCACATTCTTGACTCTTGGTGAAATGTTGACTTACTATGTGTCTATGTTTATCCTCTATCTGACTTCCTATCTCAGATTACACATGGCTTTGACAGCAGAGAGAGTGGGATCTATATTCCAGGTTGATGATTACTGGTGGAAATGGATGTTAATTCTTAGTGGATGTGTCACAGTGTTGTCACTGTTTGAGAGAGAGTCAGTAGTTTCCACGTATCTACAAATACGTGCACCGAGGGTGACTTGGCTGATGTGTCATCTGTTCTGTCCTCTGTGTCCTTTCCAGATGTTGAGGCTGTGGAGGCGAGACATGCTGCTCTCAGAGAGGCTGGGAGAAGACTCTCCGTTGGTCGCGGTGCCTGGCCCCCTGGCCACAGCAGCCCCGACGGGACCCAACATTTCATGGCTACCTGAAGCCCCACATCTGATCCCAGAGCAGCCGATCTTCCTCATGACCCCTGCAGCTCAGGCTGTGTCAGGCTTCTTCGTGTGGACGGCACTCATCCTCACCTGTCACCAGGTAACGACTTGCAAACAGCGTGTGGAGAGGGAGATGCTAAGATCATCAGGTTTTTATTTCAACTTTAAGTGAGTGGATAATGTATTTACCCAAATGATGAGGTCTGACTGAGCAGACAGGGTTTCCTGAAGAGGTTCTTTACAAACATGTAAACTGGTTGTAGCAGGTGCATGTGTGTGTGTGTGTGCGCGTGTCTGTGGTGTGTGTGTTGCTCAATGCACAGGCAATGTGATCCTGATACATCTGCTCAGCACCAGAGAAGGGCAGGGGGTTGCATGGCAACATCCCTCAGCAGGTGTTTGTGAAACACACATGAAGGGGAAACTTGATCCAGGTGGATGAAAAGCCTGTATGAAATCTGGTTGGAAAAACAAAAATAGTTTTTCTCCACTCATTCCAGTGAAGTTTTGCGATTTATAAATTGTTAACATCATTGACACTGACAGTAAGGAGACATAAGTGAAGTACATATGTTTTATGATTATCTCCAAATGTATCTGTCTCTACGAAATGAAAAAGCTGTTTGACTTGTAACCTTCAAGTCCCTTGTGTAAAGTTTTTGAAAGGTCTGTTCCAGTTTAACTTGTAGACTCAGTGTTGATGTTTTAAACTTATTATTTATACATAATATTTTCCACAATTGTAGTTTCACACTTAAAGCTGCAGTTGCTAGGATTTAGAAAGAGGAAGTGGAAGAGAACAGGAGAATATAACTTCCTGTCCCCACCTCACCTTCACACTGAACTTCACTGCTGTCTCCAAAGCCCCTCCCTGCACCGCAGAGCCCCTGCAGTGCACACAGGATAGTAACCACAGCAACCAGAAAAAAACTGGGAGACTGCCTCTGCATGTCACAGCGACGTATTCAGCAACTTTGCAAATACAATAATTCAACGCTAACCACCAGTCACAGTTATAATCAAACAGAAGCTAAAGTTAGCCCGACTGTATCATCGTGGTAACACGAGAGCTGCTGCAGGCTGGGTAATTACCTGTGAAGCAGACATGTGGCTAAGTGAGCAGTGATTGACGCCTGCTCAGACACTCCTAGCTCTGATTGGTGATTTACCTGCCTCGTGCACCTCTGTCAGACCATCGAGACAATTATAGAAGCAGTCAGAACAAATGTTTTTATAAATATTCATTTTAACGCTCAAAACATTTATTTTACTTTTGTTCAATATTTAATATTTCAATGTTTAAGACGTCTCCTTTATCATTTCCAGATCTACATGCATCTACGCTTTTACAGCTCACCCAGGGAGCAGCGCCACATCGTGAGGATCCTCTTCATCGTCCCTATCTACGCCTTTGACTCCTGGCTCAGCCTCCTCTTCTTCACCAATGACCAGTACTACGTGTACTTTGACACCGTCAGGGACTGCTACGAGGGTAAGGACGTGCTTTTGACATACAATGATGCAGACAACTCCCAACTGCCTGAAGCTTGTTTGCACTAAAAAACCAAAGCCACTCCTCCGTATGTAAATGTCACCAGTTTGTATTCCCACCAATCGTCCACCTTGGCTGCAATGCTGGTGTCTCATGATACACCAGGTGTCGATGTAAACAGACTTTTAATGGCATTTGCTCTGATAGAAGTTACCTATTTAAAATCCACCTCATTGTGGGCAACCTTTCCAGCTCTCTTGCTGAAACACATTTTGATCAGATGAGATTGGAGATGAACAAACGCGTCTGTTCATCCAGAAAAAACGATTCCAGGAATCCTTTAGAATATGGAAGTTTTTTATTTGTGTCTGATCAGAAAAAGATGATGTGGCAGCTTAGCGGAGACAATGGATGATACAAACATAACAAAAGCTACCACTCTCGAGATATTAAATGGGCAGCAGGTTGTGAGAGGCAGCTCACTGCCTCCGCTCCTTTCTCTCTCTCTCCTCAGTTGGTTGTGACGTTTAGGATAGAAATAGTCACCACGCTGTGACACTTCCTACGTCGGGGAAATGATGATGTCAAATGCATTCGGATGTTGGGGGGGGCACTCAATGCAGGGTTGTGCTTTTGGCTGGAAACGTTGTGAGTGTTGTGGTCGTTGTATCACTCCCTCCTCCTCCTTTTTTTCTTGTTGTCCTCACTTGGCACCATCCTCTGTTCACTCCCTTTTTTTCCCTTCTTGCCCTTCGTCTCCTCCTCCTCTCCTCCTCCTCCTCCCATTGCCCTTCCCTCCCCACCACGCTCCGGAGCCCTGCCTCGATCTTTTCCCTCAGCAAGGATGACTGACCTGTTGCATGGCAACTGCACTCACAAATCTCCCTCGCCAACTGTAATGGCTGCATCAGATAATGAGTTTCTCTCAACCAAACTTACTGCAAAGTTCCCATTCTCATTGTATGTAAGCCTACTGTATCACCATGGCAACAAACATGCTGATGGGGTCCTCAGGGAGAAATGAAGGCGCATGATGGTAAACAGCTGAGACACAGGGGGCTGTACTCAGACCAGTTCTCGTCACTCGGATCTGTGCAGAAGCCGCTGTGTTCAGTCAGTGAACTGTCATGTGTGGCATCTTATTGTCGTCAGACAGGAAACGTGTGTGTGTGTACATGTGTGTACGTACGTGCGTGCGTGTGTGTGTGT